CTTTGGTGAAGTTTCCCTTCTGTAATGTAACAGAGTTGATGCAATCCACTGTAAAAGTGACAAAAACAGACAAAGTTATTTTATTGCAGTGATTAATTTTACCTACATGTAGAAAATGTTACATTTACATCCTGTGGATCAGTCAGCAGCAGCATCTGATCCATGATGTGATGTAAATGTAACATTTTCTACATGTAGGTAAAATTAATCACTGCAATAAAATAACTTTGTCTGTTTTTGTCACTTTTACGGTGGATTGCATCAACTCTGTTACATTACAGAAGGGAAACTTCACCGAAGTGAAACATTAATCTGTGGATCTGTGTTTGATTACTCTGCCTGGCTTTCTCAAGGACCAGGATGTGACACAAAAATCTGAATTATAGAACTGAAAGTGAAAGTTATCAAACTGAATTTTTAATAAACTAAAATACAGTTTCAAAGCAAATTAATTCAAATTCAAAACKTTAAATTCTGATTCAAATCATTAAATTCAGTTTCAATTTAGTGAAATTTATTTTCAAACCAATGCATTCAGTTTCAAATTACGAACATTCAGATTCAATCTGAGGAATTCAAATTCAATTCCTGCTGGCACAAGATTTATCCCATACATGTGACCTGCTAACAGTTCAAAACTCTGCCTCTCTGATGGTATGGGGGTGCATTAGTAAGGTCTGATAAAACCAGGACTGGTCTTGTTGAGGAAACACAGGTCAGATTTTAAACCTCATCAGTGAAGAGTTTCTGTTTTTCTCTCAGGCTKATGACAAGAGCTTTGACTTCAAACCTGGCTTCATGGCCTCATTTTTGGATTTTCTGAAGACAGGAAAAAAAGAATTTGACTTGGAACAAAGACAGGATGGAGGTGAGAAGGAGGTCCTGGACACCTGCTCCTCTCTCAAAGGAGGAATCCAGCCCCTGTCACCACCTCCTCCTTCCTTACCACCATCTCCTCCTCAGCAGCCCCCAAAAGATTTCAGTGACAAGGGAAGTGACGAAGGGGCCGACCTGGCCCTCAGCGGCTGCCCGAGTCCCTGCAAACCTCTGGATGAGGAGCTGAAAAGGAATCTGGAGACGCTGCCGTCCTTCTCGTCTGATGAGGAGGACTCAGTCAGTAAGAACCAGGACCTGCAAAAGAGCATCTCCTCTGCCATCTCAGCCCTGTACGACACCCCACACTCTCTGGCCGCTGCCATGGCCTCCGCCATGATCAAGGCCCAGCCCACCGTGCCCCTACCGACGGCCGAGGAGCCCCCCCTCAGCCCCCCTCTCCCTGCCATCCCTCCTCTCATTCCCACTGTGGAGAACACTAAAGAGGAGGCACTTATCTTCTCTCAGCAGCCCCCGGAGGAGGAGGAGGAAGAGGAGGAGCAACGGCTGATCTCCCCACAGCCAAATACAGAAAAACCCGAGGACAGAGGGTCCGAGCAGGAGGTGGAGGAGCAAGAGGAGGAGGACAGAGTAGAGGAGAATGGGAATAATGAAGAGCCTCAGAAGCAACAAAAAAAGGACACAGAAGATGAAAAAGAAGAGGAACGATCACCTGAAAAGCAGATTTTAGAAGTTCCCAAAGCTGAAGGTAATAAATATGTTAGTTTTTCTAACCTTCGTCAAACTAAACGTAACTAAAATTAATCTGACAACAGGAACTACTGTTGTTTAGCTTTTCTATAAGATTTTAATGTGCTTCAGTGCCTCAACTCATTCATGTTCTTTATGTTATTTAAGACTCCAGTTAGAGGAATACAATTCCTCAAATAAACACATATCACTCTCTGSCTTTGATACCAGAGTTTAATATTGAGATAATCAAGAATWTCCCACTTACAAGWACAACTGGGCCACAACTGGTGAAAATGCAGCTTAATGTAGAMTTTTACACTGTGAATTTCTCAGACTACTTTTGAACCCTGTGCACCTCYAACTAGTGGTGAGATTCCATCGTTTCTTGGATAAAATAATCAACAATTATGGGAGWTGTAGTTTAGAGTCAGTGCTGGCTATAAAGCAGATTATTTTAAGACATTAATACGTCATTGAAGCTCTAGCGGGCCACATAAAATGCCACAGCGGACCAGTTTTGGCCCACGAGGCTTGAGTTTGACACATGTGCCTTAAACCCTGCCATGTGTGGGCTGCCACCCTGCTCTAGGTTCCACATACCACCACAAGGAACCACAGGACGTTTGTTCATGCTTAGAACCACTGTARTCTAGTCATGTTCTTTCACATGTAACAGAAAACTCATTGGGCCTCATGCAAGAACATGTTCGTATTCTTATCCTAAATTTCTCTTACTTTTGTTCGTAC